CCGTGCCCCGGCCTGGCCGCGCTCCCCGCCGGGCTGACCGCGCTCCCGGCCGCCGCTGAGCCGCCCCCGCCCGCGGTGGATGCCGCCGGGGAGCGGGCGGAGCGCGCCGCCGGGGAGAGGGGCTGCCGCGGCCGCCGGAGCCCACGTACATGCGAGTGCCCTCTCCGCTCACCAGCATGCTTTACTTCCAGATGGTGATCATGGCAGGGACCGTGATGCTGGCTTATTACTTCGARTACACGGACACCTTCACCGTCAACGTGCAAGGCTTCTTCTGCTACGAGGGCGCGTACCGAAAGCCCTACCCGGGCCCGGAGGACCGCAGCGCCGTGCCGCCGGTGCTCCTCTACTCGCTGACCGCAGGCGTGCCAGTGCTGGTGGTAAGCTGAGGCGCACTCCGCTGACTTGTTGGGCTGGAGCGGGCCGGGCCGGGCTGCGGGTCCCGGCCGGAGCCGTGCCGCCGGCGAACGGCTGCGGGTGGGCCCGGCGGGCGGGGACCCTCCGCGTTCCTGGGGCTGCGGCCCCGGGGCCCCGGCGGACAGCGCTGCTGCCCCAGCCCCTGCCCCACCGTGCCCACCGCGCCTCTCAAGTTTATTTTTAGCACCGGTTTATGTAACTGCCAATGCCTGTATTTCCAGCCCCGTGCGACTCCTTTTGGTAAAAAATTATCTTTTATTTTTCGGAACGCRTGTCGCTTGCTGGTTGATGTGCAACCTGAGGAAAACCCGGTTTTTAGCAACTACTTACTGATATGTCACCCAGTACTAATTAGAAAACCTCTCTCTGTCAGTTTTGGTTTTTAAAAGTCGGCTGGTACGTGCAAAGAACAGGGAGCAGTTTTACTTGATTTAGTTGTCTCCATATGTCACAATTACTGATGTGTGTGTAAATGAAACCTGTGTCTCTAATTGAACATGATCTTCTGTCAATCAGTTTTTAACAGGTGTGTCTAAAAAGTGATTTATTTAATTGAKTTTTTTWAAAAYAACTAAGAGAAATCTTTTTKGAAATATTCCTTTCYWAAGATCCYGTGAGATGCCTCTCAAACTGCTGAAGGTACTCTTTGTGTTGTCAGATAAGAGGGCATTATCATCGTTTAGTGATCCCTGACCATACTACTGAGCAAAGACCTAAAGGGGAACATTTAACCATTGGAGATGGGTTACATATAGACTTACCAGGTGCCTGCACACTTACATGTACAGAAAGTCTTCGAAAAGAGTTGATTTTAATCAACTGTAAGCATTAAAATAAAAAGAGGCATTTTAAGATGGTAATTATTTGTTTCATACATTGATTCTTTTACAGGAAAATGTAACAAAATAGGAAAAGAAAAAGCCTCATCAGGRTAATGCTATGGTAATCCCAGACACAATTTCTGCATTGTAGCATTGTGAGGTCTCAGATGATATCAAACATAAAACCTCATGGTCAGGAATAGCCTTAGTATTTGAGTCTTGGTTCTTTTTTAGATTTTTTTTTCCCTGAGGAATTGAAATTCAAATGATGATTTGGCAAAACCTGTTCTGTAGCATATTGGTTTTCTTTGGCTCTTTTGATTTGAGTGTCAGTTACTTGTCCACTTTATTTACTTGTTTGTTCCTTTGAACCCCTGAATGCTGTTGTGATTCAAAAGGAGAATTAYTGTTTGTTTTTTGGTGATGTTTCTCTGTTGTTGGCATACGATGGATTTTTGCTTTTAATTCTATTTCTTTTGTTTAGCTCAGGAAGTCATAAAGATTATGTCAGATATTCATGTTGAGCATCTTTTTTTTCCCATTATGTGTCAGCARGATGGATTGGTCGTTTCCATTCATTTCCTGGGTGCTAGATAATTACGTCAGAGAAATCACCATGACATTTTGGGTTGGCAGTCTTGTAATTAGCCTTGCTGAAAAGCTAATAATAGAATTTAATGATCCTTAACTGTGCTTCAACTCCCAGTCACCAGTCTTTTGGGCAAATGACATGCTTTGGGATGTCAGGACTTGGAAAACCACATTGTAGGTGTCTTTCTGAAAAAAAATATTTTTATTGGGTTTTTGTTTTTTTTTAAATGAAGAATTCATCTCCTGGGAGTCTCATGAATTCGACAGCATTAAGTCTAATAGTTAACTTTATTAAATGGATGGATTTTTCAGGTTTTGCATAGAGTTTTGCTCTGATTTGCCTTGGGCAATCCTCTTGGACTTAGTGTTTACCAAGGCTGGCWCTTACTCAGTTGTGCAGGACATGTTCATTGCCTTTTGCTTGTTCTTTTCATTAAAACAGGTGGTGAAGGTAAGATTTCTTCACCCAAACAACTTGCATGTTTTCAGTTGTAGCTGGTTTCAGAGATGAGAGTCTCATCTATGTCATTTTTTTCTTGTTTGTGACATTTTTGGCATACATGTTCTGTGTAATTTTGTTTCTGTAGATGAAATATAAAAATTAATCATGGAACATAGCTGTATTTTGGCCTGTAAAAGTATAAATGCAGACTAGTGAAGGAAATGGATTTCTGTGAATGCAATTGCACTATTTTATTTCAAAATGACTTGTCTTTGAATATAGCATATTAAATACTGTGATTTATGAGGGGTTTTWAAAAAAAAYCCWTTTTTTTGTCCCCTGTTCATTTGGTGTATGGTGTTATTGCTCTTTCTGGAGTTTAGAGGTAGAGCAACAGAATCTTTSTCTTGGTGATCACAGAAACTGAGGTTTTTTGAGTTATGGGACTTGTTGAATTGGAGCCATAGTGTGCTTCAAGGTAAGCCAGGTTAACATCTTAATGTGACTCAATTAATGGGTCCATTGCATTGAGTTTTAATGAAATTGCTCAAAAATCAAGAAAAAAGGTTTTTCTAGTGACTTTCCTTTCCACATGCCTGCAAGTAGAAAACTGAAAGAATAATGTACCAATAGCAGGATCTGTCTTGATGAGCATCTCATCAGCAGTGTACTGTCACACAGCTACTCATCTAAAACTCCTGTGCCACATCAGAGATGCTGCAGCAGAGCTGAATGTCAAGCCATGGGTTGAGCTGAGTGCTCGCAGGGCAGCAACATGCATGTGCTGAGACCTAAATAACCTCATTTGACAGGGATGTACTGTGAGCGCTGTGTTCATCCTGGAATCTTTCTGCTTAGTCTTTAAAATGCTACTTCCTGCTAGTACATTCCTACAGCCCTGGTGCAGCMTTGCTGCCAGGCTTTCATTCCTGAGTCAATCTGCTTCCTCATGCCATCTGCCCTCATGCCATCCAAGGACAGATGCAGCTGGCTGGCAAGGCAAGGCACAGGTGCTCAGGAGTGTGATCTGAGACATGTAGTCCCAGGGCAGAAGCAGTGACTGCTTGCTCTACTGTAATGCTTGACTTTTTTTTTGTGTGTGTTTTTTTTTGTTCTTTTTTTCCTTTTTTTTGCCTTTTATTTTTTTTATCTTTAAGTCAAATGCACTTGTATGGGAATGGGAAACTGTGACCAAAGGAAACAAATTTTGTGCTTTGTGTTTGGGACTTACTGGGTTTTTGTATCTACAGTCTTTGGTCAAGTAATTACAATGTAGTTGCCAAGTATTTGGTCAGCTCTAAATTGGTTGGATAGTTGTACTAGATGATTACTGTAGGTSTCTTCCAGCTGAACTAWTCTATTCTAAATTTCTCCTAGGTTATGTAGGATCTAGTACGGAGTCAAATTGTCCTTTTTACTTTGGATATAATAAATTTATTGTCTGCTTAGACATATCTGCTTGAAGCTCCTGCAACTTCAGAGTTTTCTGGAGAATCTGTGGATGCCTCATCTCTGGCAGTGTTCAAGGCCAGGGTGGATGGGGCTTTGGGCAACCTGGTCTATGGAAGGTGCTCCTGCCAGTGGTGGGTAGGCTGGACCTGGATACCCAAACCATTCTATGGTTCACAGGTATTATAGCAATTGTAGGAAACCTGTAGAGGAGTCCAGCAGCCATTCTATAGGATGACAAGAGCTGCTTCTTTTCCATTTTCCAGCTGTTTTCCTAGCTTTATGTGGGTTCTATGAAATAGGATGCATTATAATGTTGGTTTTCTGTGGATTATCTCTTAAGCTTGTAGGCACTGTTTCTTATCTGACAAATCGGTAGATTGTGAGTTCTCCAATGGAGAATTTTGAGGGTCCGAACAGTTGGTTTGTTTAGTTTGTTTTTGAAAAAGTGCTGAAAACAATAGCAGCTTAACATATRATAAAATACATGGTCCCTTCCAATGTTAGACTTTTATTTGTTGACGGTTTCCTAAATCATACGTTTAGGCACAGGTRAAGTAATGACTTGAGTGAACAGATGCGTTTGCATAAGGAGCATTAGCCACACAAGCAGTAAAAGCTTTTAGAAAATGTAGGTGAGGTGGAAAGGGCAATCAGAAGAGTGGAAAAGCCCTAAATATGAGATTCCATGAGGAAAGACTGAGACTTGGGCAGAGACAGTGCCCCAGAGGCAGTGCCCTGTGGGCTCCCTTCTTCCCCTTTGTGACTCWGGTTTGAAAGAGTACTGCTGGCTCTATGCTCCCATCCTTTTACTGTCCATGGCAATAATATCCTGAAATCTSTGGTATACTGAGGAATTCTCAATACATGGTTTGTTTTTTTTGTTTATTTGGGTTTTTTTGTGGTTTTTTTTAATTTTTATCTTGAAGGCAAATGTGAAGGTGACAAGAAATAAGCTCTTGACTTGAGTCTATTCAAATATGTAATAAGCATAGAACTGCTAGTTGAGAGCTCAGTGCTATTTAAGCCATTTCCCAAAGTGCCAGTTCTTGCTCAGTGGGTTGGTTGCTTTTTTAAACTTGTTATGACAGATGTAGCTTGGGAAATACACGTCAGTCTAATCCTTTAGCTTCCAGTAGAGATGATTTCTAGAACGGTGAGGCTAGTGTCTCATGTTTTCAGAATCTATAGAGTGATCAGTTCTGCAATGTTTCTTTCTGATACATGTTAATATTTTTTTTTTTTTTTTTTTTTTTTTTTTTTTTTTTTTTTTTTTTTTTTTTTTTTTTTTTTTTTTTTTTTTNTGGACTGGACAAATCTTTAGATTGGCACATCCCAAAGCAGGAATGGATATCAGAAATCAGATGTTCTGCCTTTGGCTTTGCTTTAGTTAGTAACCTTTTCCTTTGAGGAAGAAATTTTGAATACTGGCAAAAGAAAGACTGTAAAGTGGGAGATGCAATTTCATTGTTCTTGGATCAAATTCATGGTACCCTGATGCTTAAGCAAAAAACAATATCATTTTGTGACAATTGAAAAGAGAAGCTTCTTCTTGAAGTATCTTCACCATTTTCATAAGTCTCCTTTCTTCTTCACTGTGTTTGCTGCTGTCTTAATAGCTCCAGGTCTGAGAAGGTCAGGAGCAGTTGAAGAATATGCA